CTATTTTGAAAACTTTTAAGGCGGATGTAAACAATAAACCACGGTAATAAGAGCTCTATGAAAACCACGATAATACTCTATAAATAGGCATTTGCAAGCCATCTGCAGGAGTCCGTACAAAAAACTTGGTATTTTGGCAATTGCACTACAGTCCAGTTATACAGGTTGTCGCACCGGGAACTGCGTCGATCGATATCTAGGAAAGTACTGCTCCGTAAAATTTGAAAAAATCGACACCACCTTCGTTATTTTAAATGAAACACCCTATATATTATTGCATTTTCGCATTCTATGTGAAATTTGATTGTCACTTTATTAAATATTCCCTATACCTAGGAGTTATAGATTTTGAGATATTAATTTTTAAAGAAAAAATTTGACAGATGCAAGGGTCCGCGGAGATGCTAACTCTTTTTACGAGTGTGATGCCAAGTGGATTTTTGATACCTGTAAAGGGCATAGGTATCACTACATTATGGTGTACCAACAAATTAAAACATTTAATACTAGGTGTTTCATTTTTGCATTTTGATAACTTCAAACAGCTATAACTTTGTTAACTTAAACGGAACACTGTATATTTTTTTAGTCTGTCGTATGCATAATGAAATTTCCTTTCAAGCCATATAAGCATTGTTAGGGTTGCCGTTACTACTTTTAGAGGTATTTGCAATTTTCTATTTTTTGGGCAGTTTTTCTCGTATCAGATCTGTTGTCAAATTGGCCATGACCAGAAACACTGGAAAACAATTGAAATAACATGACATTTGTCAAGATAGTTGTCAAATTATTGTTATGTCGTTTTGCCGAAAATTTAAATAAAAATGCCTGGGTATCGTTTAAATTATGCTAATGAGGATTATTTTAATTTGTTTGTTATTTATGGAAAATGTGATACAGTAATTTCAAGAACATGTTGAGAATCGTTGATTTTTGGAAAATGTCACAAAGTAATTTCAAGAACATGTAAGAATCTGTTGCTTTTTCCACCATATGTCAAAAAAATACATTGTTCCTTTTTTAAAAATATAATTTCCTGTTATATCTTAAAAGTGGCAATCTGACAACAAAGCGGTTGCTCTTATAAGATCGACCATGCCTTTTTACCATCGGATCATCGGATGTCAAATTTGACTTCAATCAGATAACACGAATGAATGTTACAGACAATTTATCAATAAAAAACACCCTGTATATTAGTGTTGTCGCCCTCAAAATTTGTACACTTCTAAAATTATACCTCTATTTACTACTATTTTAATTATTTTTTCAGTAAGTATCTAGGAGAACCTTTTCGGGTATTTTATTTTCGAACGAAATAAATATGCAACTTAATAATTCCTACATTTTTTTTTTCTAGCTTTACAGTAAATCATGGAGCGCTGGGTGGACAAAGTGGCAATCGTTACAGGAGCTAGCGCAGGCATTGGCGCTGCCATCAGCAAAGCTTTGGTAGAAAAAGGAATAATTGTAAGTAAAATGACTGTCCACCTACTCGTAAACACATTGGTGTGTGACGGACCTACTTTTGACGCAATATTGCTGTCATTTAAGATGTTGCTGTTGTGTTTGATATAAATTACTGCTGCTTTTCTTCTCGTTGTTGCTCTTGCTGCTGCTATTGTTATTGTTACATCTGCTACTGATGTCGCTGTTGTTGTCATTGTTGTTGTCGGTGCTGCTGTAGTTGTTGTTAATGTTATTCTTGATCTTGCTGCTGCTGTTGTTGTAGCTGTTGCTGTTGTTAGCTGCTGCTGCAGTCGTGGTTGCAGCTGCTTTTTTGTTGTTTTATTGTTGCTGCTGTTGCTGCTATTATTGTTGTTGCTGCTGATACTGCTGTTGTCGTTGTTGTTGTTATTGTTGACGTTGGTGCTGCTGCTGCTGTAGTAGTAGTTGTTGTTATTGACGTTGTTGCTGCTGCTATTGTTGCTGTTATTGTTCCTACTGTTGTTGTTGTTCTTATTATTGTTGATGNAATTGTTAAAAAACTACTACTTTATTTTATGGGGAATTTAATTCTAAAACTTTTAGAATTAAATTTCCCATAAAATAAAGTACCTACTTATTAAAAGTTAAAAAATTCTGTCACATGTTACTTAATGGTGCATCATGCCTTATCAACCCTTTAAAATGCTTGAATTGAACACACAATGGTACACTCACACCGTGTACCAAATTTAGTTCAAGTATAACTGAGATATTGATTTTTTTCGAAATTTGATGTTTTTTTAAACATTCTGTATTATTTCTTCAGATGCTAAAGCCACTGCATGTGTTATATTTTTCTTAGGAATACAAATATCTAAGAACTGGTTACTTTATTGGTATCTAAAAATAATGTTGTATCACAACATACTTGTGTTCTTCGTCTTCGTAATATTGAATAATCTATACGGCAAATCTTATTCTTATATATTGCAGAAGGTGACTCATTTACCTATCCGATTTGGGAAATGTTGTATGGACCACAGTGGACAGAAATATGTACCATCGAATACACTTTTACAAAATTATCGTAAAAATGATAAAAGTATATGTAATAGCAAATAAAAAAAATAAATAAAGATAAATGGTACATTAAAACAGATAATAAATACAGAGAACGCATTCAGAACTTACGCAAATCATTGATTTTCCCGTCAAACCAAAATTTTCCACGCGCGCATAACTTTTAACCCCCTTCCCCAAAGACTATCCCTTTAGTAAGATATTCATCATTTTCAAGAAACATATCTGAGATTCGATTTCTGCAAACTCATCGCGATCTGAAAGTACTTTTTACTGTTTGTACCCCGTACAACAGACCTAAAGGTTACTGAACTCGGCCAAAATATTTCTTCTATGAACCCGGTAACATAACAATCGACTAACAATGGAATCTCTACACGAAGGAGCATATGGTTCATATCGATTGGGCAACAAGAAAAAAAAGAACTGGACGCGTCCGTAACGGGATATCCAGCATGCAAAACATAGGAATCAGATACAGGAAGATGATGATCTACCAAACAAGAAAACTTATGATTTTACAGTAGAATTCAACCTCGAATTCAACTTTTCTTTGGGTAAATCAAATCTTTTATTGTCCAAATAAAATTTAAGGCCTAAATTAAAAACTGGTAACATTATACTACATATAATATACATTGTAACAGTTTGATGGGAATTTAATTGAATAAAATCCCAATTATTTCTAATCTTGATAATAGTACAACTTGAAATTATTTTCAAACAGAGGTAGGTAGGTAGGTATTTATAACTTTCTACCTGTCAACAAATCTTCATCAAAGAAAATACCATAAATTTTCTGGATTTAATTCATATGATTTAGTTAAACCCTTAAAGAGCCCCAATAAGAAGTGGAATTTAATTAAAATATACCTAAATATAAATAAAACATTACACCTATGTTTTCGTTTTCGTCACGTCAGCTAAACGTTCCCAACTAACGACCTTTTGCTTGGATGTAAATTAATCCGCGATTTTTCTCTAGTTGTCGTCAACACTGGACAAGAGGAAACAAAGAACGCGGAGATTATAAGACACTGCAAATCCTTATGCAAACATCCACAGGTAGCCGATAAGGTTAGTTACCTTTTAAATGACATTTTGTATTTTGTTTATATCGGATAACTACGCTCACCGGGTATTTAAATTCTATTAAAACTATTACCAAGGATAAGCCTGTGATGCGGGAAACCCTCTACAAAATTCCTGCGTGGGCTGGTAAAAGGAAAAGTACGATTTTTTTATTTCGTTTGTTGTACACATGACCAACTGTGTTTTTACAACAAAAATTATGAATGACTTCGTCTGACTCCGGAAACGAAAAAGTGTGACATTCTACGAGTTACCTAATAAACTACGTAACTGCATAATTTGCGAGTATAACTAAATTCTACAGAGATAAAAAAAACACTACTTACATTTTCCTGTTCTGGTGTCAGAGCAGCGGCCATTACAGTTCCACACGTACACTCCACACAGCACACAAGAGAAAACTGAACGACGTAAACACGCTTCCATTCGCGATCCCGCAGCGCAGAAAAGACCGCGTTACAAGATGCAAAAAGCGGCAAAATTTTGATCGCCCCGGAACAATGTAGATTTTCTTTATAAGATTTTCTCATTAATTACACTCTGTTATTATTTCATGTAAATGGGAAACATTTGCGACATTTTTAATTGCTTCAGTAGACCTTGGGTGGATCGTTTTTAATTTAGAATTGCAATTAGGTATTAGCATGAACAATAACGTTGACTAACCACTATCTCATTTGTAATTTTTTAATTGTTGCTGTTATACTTAGGTAGTCCTTAAAATTCGAAGAAGTGGGTATACCTACTTAAAACTTGCTTTCAAAAATCATGCCATGCAGATATTTCCATACAATCTGAATTTTTATATTTGTTTAAAAGTGTATTTCTGGTTCTGGATATATTCAGATTATTTAAATTTATTTTACCCCTGTTATTAACATATCAAAGTTATGCAATTTAGTTAACTCAAGTCTGTATTAATAGTTGCCTGTTTTCTTAATCTAATTGGAAAGGTAATCCCTAAATTAAATTAAACAAACATTAATAATTGGTATTCAAAATTATATTTGGGTCATAGATAAGAATTTAAACTCTTTGTCCAAAAAGTACTTGTATCAGCAGGTAATAATCTTTGTTTTACGATTTATAAACAAGGTTAGTTAATTCGGATTAGTTTAGGCTTGTTAAGGTGGTAGCAGTGCCGCACCACACCATTGTAATAAATATGTCGGACGTAAGAGGTGCAGGTAAACTTCAGAGAAAATTTTGCGAGCAGCAGACGTAGTCGTTGTGAATTTTTGTAACTTTTCGTTGGTGCTTTATGTAGTTCTGGTGATAAATAATGAATGAATTGAATAACGTCGAGGTAAAGACCGTCCAACACTCGATCCCAACGGATATATTGGATGACCTCTTAACGTAAGTAATGGAGGTTTCTAAAATTGTCTTGTTTATTGTTTATGTTTTCGTAATGTAAATATACGTCGTTTTGTAGGAGATTTCTGATATTTGTGCCAGAATCCGCCAAGCAGAACTTGATACGAATTTGTTTCCAAATAGAGTTGGCCCATTGGTTTTACTTGGATTTTTATGTAGGGAATGACAAACGCCTTAAGGCTTGTACTATTTATGAATTTGCTGCCCATGTCTTTCAGGTGAGTTTGTCCTAAATTTAGAAAGTAATTTCGAGTTTATCTATATTAATCACAGTATTTTTATTTTTGTTATGATTTGTATTGTTTGTAAACAAAAACTCACAACAAAATGAATTTTGCAAGGTTGTTGAAATAATGCCCATAAATACTGAGTGGATTTTTTTTATAATGGTGATAATTGATGAGTTTGAAGACAAATATTTTTTATTCAAAGTAGATTTATCAAACAATGAAATCACGCTTTATCTTATCTTCTATTCATGTAACAAAAACGTCAAAAATATTGGTTTTATTGATCCTTAATTGATCTACAGCACATCCCATTCCTCCAACGGGAGAGCCACAAACTAAAACAAATCCTCAAAGAATGGAAGGAGTACAAGCATAGCGTGCCGACATACGGCGCAATAATTCTTTCAGAAAACATGTCGCATGTCCTTCTCGTCCAGAGTTACTGGGCAAAGTCTTCTTGGGGTTTCCCCAAGGGTAAAGTAAATGAGGAGGAGGATCCCGCTCACTGCGCCGTTCGAGAAGTTCTCGAAGAGACTGGCTTTGATATAAGCAACAACATCAACCCCGATGAGTACCTAGAGGCTGTAATAAACGAACAACTCGTCAGACTGTACATTATAAAGAACGTACCGTTGGCAACGCAGTTCTGCCCCAAGACCCGATGCGAGATCAAATCTTGCAGTTGGTTCGCCGTCTCCGACCTACCCACGAGCAAAAAGGACAGCGCCTCGAAGGCTAAGATGGGCATCAACCCGAACGCCTTCTTCATGGTCCTTCCGTTCGTCAAACGCCTCAAGCAGATCTGCACGACGGAGCACAAACGTAATAGGTACAAGCGTTTCATTTCTGTTGTGAGGAAAAAGGAGGTAAAAGTTTATTAGATTTGGTAGACGACTTTTTGAGGTTTTTATACAAAGTAGGGAAATACCCTTAAAGACAGCGTTTGTTTGTGTGTAAAAAGGTTAAAAATGCTTCAACATGTGTCATTTAATCTCATGTTCTCATCAGGTTTTCTCGGTTAAGTTTTTTTATATCTACATCATAAAAAACTTAATTTGACCTAACCTAACTTTATGTGCAAATCTATCTATGTACCTCTATGAACTTAGGTTAGGATGTTTTTTTTTCAGAAAAGAAAATATAACAACCTAACCTAATTTTATTTAGAAATACATCTGTCACTATAAAGTTAGGTTAGGGCAAGATAACATTTTGTTCAGGAAAAATACATAAAAAACTTAACCTGATCTGATGTAACCTAACTTTTGGATGATTCTATCTAAGTAAAGTTAGGTTAGATCAGTATAAGGCTGTCTCCAAAAAAAAATTCATAACATAACCTAACTTTATGTAGAGTCTCTATAAAGCTAGGTTATGTCATAAGTTTTTTCTTCCTAACTTTATGTATAAAAATATGTACATTTGATTTGTATTTGGCTTAATAATATACATATTACCCATTTTGAAAATATTAATTTATCTCAAGGTGCGATTTTAATTGTGAGTAAGAGTCTTTTACAGGAGGTAACTAAAATACTTGACCAAATGTTTATTGCAGTTTCTACATTACAAATTAACAAAAAAAAACTCAAATATGTTTCTGATATAAGAGGTTTTCAAGGTTAAGAAAGATATATGATGTATTTCATTCGTAGATTCACAACTTATTAAAAAGAAAAAAATCATGGGATATATAATGGATCTATACAAATACCACAAAAAACTAAAATAATTTAGCTGGGTAATAAATAACTAAAGTTTTACCGTAATTATTTTATTTTAGAGAATTGCTTTTATTATTTTTAATTCGTGCTATTGTTAAATGTTAATTCGTCATGCTTTCTCATAAATTCGGTAATTTTGCCTTGCTATTTTGAAAACTTTTAAGGCGGATGTAAACAATAAACCACGGAAATAAGAGCTCTATGAACACCACGATAATACTCTATAAATAGGCATTTGCAAGCCATCTGCAGGAGTCCGTACAAAAAACTTGGTATTTTGGCAAATGCACTACAGTCCAGTTACACAGGGTGTCGCACCGGGAACTGCGTTGATCGATATCTAGGAAAGTACTGCTCCGTAAAATTTGAAAAAGTCGACACCACCTTCGTTATTTTAAATGAAAACACCCTATATATTCCCTTTCACTGCTCCAGACGTATATATTCGCTAAAAATTTATAGGGCTCAAACTGCTCAAACCGTATATATTCGCAACCGTGCGCATAGTGACTCGGTTATTGCAATTGGTAAGGCGAATTTTTGCGGGCGAGCTTATACCGATTGTGACAAATATTTTTATGGAAAGAGGTACTGGTAATAGTACCAAGATTGTTCATGTTTCTTTCAGTTTCTATTTAGTACATATACTGTATTTTATTCAAAATAAAATCGTAAAATTTATCGTAAATCGTAATTTAACACAACATAATGTAAAACTATAAGTGGTCTAACTGCTCCAGACGTATATATTCGCACGCGATAAACTTTCGCGCACGGCGCGGTAGCTACGTTCAGACGTATTGCGCAGCGAAAGGGTTAAAGAAAAAATTTGACAGATGCAAGGGTCCGCGGAGATGCTAACTCTTTTTACGAGTGTGATGCCAAGTGGATTTTTGATACCTGTAAAGGGCATAGGTATCACTACATTATGGTGTACCAACAAATTAAAACATTTAATACTAGGTGTTTCATTTTTGCATTTTGATAACTTCAAACAGCTATAACTTTGTTAACTTAAACGGAACACTGTATATTTTTTTAGTCTGTCGTATGCATAATGAAATTTCCTTTCAAGCCATATAAGCATTGTTAGGGTTGCCGTTACTACTTTTAGAGGTATTTGCAATTTTCTATTTTTTGGGCAGTTTTTCTCGTATCAGATCTGTTGTCAAATTGGCCATGACCAGAAACACTGGAAAACAATTGAAATAACATGACATTTGTCAAGATAGTTGTCAAATTATTGTTATGTCGTTTTGCCGAAAATTTAAATAAAAATGCCTGGGTATCGTTTAAATTATGCTAATGAGGATTATTTTAATTTGTTTGTTATTTATGGAAAATGTGATAAAGTTATGTCAAGAATATGTTGAGTCTGCTGCTTTTTTGGAAAATGTGACAAAGTAATTTCAAGAACATGTAGAGAATCTGCTGCTTTTTTCCATAAATAAAAACACGTTAAAATAATCCTCATAAGTATAATTTAAACGATACCCGCGCATTTTTATTTAAATTTTCAGCAAAAACTATTACAGACATAACATTAATTCGACAACTAACTTGACAAATGTCAAATTATTTTAATTGTTTTGGAGTGTTTATGGTCATAGCCAATTTGACAACAGGTCTGATACGAGAAAAAGTATCCAAAAAATAGAAAATTGCAAATATCTCTAGAAGTAGTAACGACAACCCTAACAATGGCGACAAAAAATTTTGGTGAAAAATTATGTGTTTATATGATACAGGGTGTCAAATTTGACCAGAGAAATAATATTTACCGATTTTGTATAGCTCGGTACATGAAAGAAAAATTGAAGTAAAAAGTAATGTAGGTTTTTGTTTGAATTATTTTACTGTTGATTTTATTTCATTATGGAAATCTAAATTCAGTCAAAATTAATTAATGCTATTAAAATTAGCCAAAATTTCTACAATTTTTAAGTTTTGGTGATTAAAGTAATACCATTTTATTTCCTGAACGAAATATCCCTCAGTATATCTAAATTGTTCTTATTTGGTATTCAAATACCTGAAAATTGTTTGAAGATTTTTTTTTCTTAGATCATAAAAAGAATGTGCTTTGGAAAATTTTTCAAATAAGTATATCTGAAAAATCTGGAAATATCAAATCAAATTTACTGACCAAAATATGTTATACGCCCTACATATCATTTTTCTGTTGATTTTTATGTATAAAAGAATGTTATTTAAAATTTCATGGTTTTTGTGTTATGTTTTGGCCTATACAGGGTGTTTGTAAATAATTGCGAAATATTTTAGGGTGTGGTTACCGAAGTTATTTTGTGAAAAAAAGTTCATATAAATGTAGGTCGAAATATGCTGCGTTTTCGAGATACAGTGTTTAAATTTTAATTATTTATTTATTTTTATTAATTATTTCAGTCTTAAAGATATTGACTGGAAATTTAATGCTAGTATTTTATTTGGAAATATTGACAGCAAGGTACTAGATAATGAGCTAAAAATACACACAAATACGCTTGTACGTTTTATTTATTTTTTTTTCAAAAATGGTGCATCCTACGGAAAAATGAAGAGATCAATTTCATTCAAAATTGGAGATGGATTTTTTAAAAAATATCAAAATGGGAAAATTAAAATTATTATTAAAATAGGTTCTGGCATTCTCGCATGAACGCCACTGGTGCAAGTAGAAATATTCGGATCACCCCAAAAAATGCACATTTATACCTCCAAAGCGTTTTTCAAATTTCAAGTCTTTAAAACAGAAATAATTAATAAAAATAAATAAAAAATTAAAATTTAAACACTACATTTATATGAACTTTTTTTCACAAAATAACTTCAGCAACCAAACCCTAAAACATTTCGCACTTATTACTTAGCCTTAGCTGGGAATCTTAGGCATGCCTTTGTTGTTCTTGGGTTAAGGTCCGTGGGGGCGGATCTTCTATCAGAACCCCTAGACCCACCGTGATGTTGATTTCGGTTCTTATTGTTCTAAACCCACTATAATAGAACCGCTTTCCAGGA